GACAGGGTTAAAAGAATCACTTTATATAATTATGATCAATAAGGTGTAAAGTGATCATATTTTCTTCAGTGTTACTTGGATGCTCATTGTCACTATCACTTTTGTCAGTGTCACTGCTAATCCACAATAAAAAGCGATCACTTCATTCAACTATTATTTTATCTTTCACTATGTACTCATCTTCAATTTTTGTAACATGTGAGCACTCTTTATTCTAAAGCTGATTGCTTATTGAGCCAAACAATTCTTTTATAAGTGATTACTTTTGATCATCATTACCTCAATTGGATTTAAATGCGCATGATATGGGGACAGTTGCAAAACATTATGACCATGTGATTTAATTAATTTTTCAGCTTTATACATGGGTTTTATTTTTTTTTATTAATTCATATAAAACATTTTTGGCAAATTTGGTGAAAACAACAGTCCCTTGTTTTGAAGCCACTCTACCATATCTACTTTGAGGCTTGCCATATTAGGGCTTTTATATGTTTGAACAGTGTGATATGGTGCATTGTCCATCACAATCACACAATTACGTGGCAGGTTTGGTAAAACAGTCGTTATGGTAGTCTGATGATTTAGTTTGTGACTTGAATAGCAGTAACTCAGACTTAAGAATAATGCATAAATGTTTCATCTATGTAGACTATAGTCCGCCTCTCTTCTCGATATTCTTTCAATTTTATTCAAGTAATTAAATCGCCAGGCAGATATATCTGTTCGTTTCACTAAATTTTTGCGTTTTGATTTACACTTTTTGTATTTATATCCTAGTCGTTTTAACATTTTCCATAGTGTTAGTACACACACCTTTAAAATTTATTTCATATCGCAATTCGACAAGTAATTTGTTCAACGTAGGAATTTCTTTTCGTACAGTTATCACGTGTATATATATATTTCTTCACATACAATTATTTTAATATCATTTAGCATTTTACAAACTGTTGTTAGTCTAAATCTTTGTAACTGGTCACCCTAAAAATATACCGGTCATGGCGGCAATTCGGGCACGAACATGTTGCAATGGCTAAATCAGCTTGTTTTCAGCCTTTTATTTTTACAAAAATGCATAAACTTGAAGAATAGTTTGTCGTTTAGCAAATTTAACCACTTTCAGCATTTTTAAAACTAAGATTACATAATTAAGAAGCAAAAAAGCACACAGATAGCAACCGATCAAGTTCAAAGAAAAATGACGGCTAAGGAAACAGTGCTACCAATCACTCACGTGTCAAGTTAAGATGAACGGACAATAGAACGGCTTGTAAATAGTAATACCTACAGGATTTTTCATCACGAGCGCTCGAATTTTGAAATCAAATAATACAACCAGTGTAAGTGATATTGTCACAATTTTTATATTATTATAAAGGATGAGTAAAATTTCAGCCAAATGGCCACCGTGACGAATTTTTGACGTCTTCACAAAAAATGGAACTCAATTTCATGAAGGCCGTGAGTTATGTTGGCCTTCAGGGCAGCAATTGTCTGTCGTTTGACTGCATACTATATACAACATACATACAAACTGACTTTTTCGAAGTGTAGAGGCACCTGGTGAGTCTTTAATATTTTTAACAAAGCCACTCAACCAGAAATTTGAGCATCATCACTGAAGATGATTTTTTAGCCCGAAAGGAGCGTCAGCCATCAAATGCACCAAAAGTACAATCAGCGAATAACACGGTCGAACACTAATCTGTGGCCATTGGGTTTTAGCTCTTGTGTTAATTTAATTTTGTATAGATGAAAACCCAGGTCTTGACGCAAAATCGCCAAGGTGATGTCCCAGAACGACTCAACTCTTGCGCACGGGCGGAATGAACTGTGTGGGGTTTTCTCGCACACTGTTCCAAACGACAGTAATATTCTTCAACGAAACAATCTTGTGTTTCTTTGACGTACAGACACTGCTTCATAGATCACCGACCCGGCTGCTTCAAATTTATTCATTAAACGAACTGTGGACTCTGTATGACGATCATGAAATTAAACGCAACGTACGGAACGTTAGGCGAACAGAGCACTGATTTTGATAATTAATTTTAACAATTTCAACGCGTTGTTGAAGCGTGTACCGTTCCATGGTGAAATTTTAAGACTAAATAAGTATTCTTGTCAAATTTGACAGCTATCGCTTTACGCTTTGCTATACGCGCAAAGTTCGAGCGTCATTATTGAAAAACCCTTTAAAAGAATGAGCTATCGATGTTTAATCGTTATTAAAAGTATGGAATTAAAATTAGTAACCTTTTGAAACTTATTAAAAATTTAAATAATATACTGTGAATATGCCCGTAATTTATATATAAATATATATTATACAACCCGTTTGAGGTCCTGGTGACAGCAAATTAAAAGAGTTACTCGAACGTCAATATTGAAGCACCTAAATCACTCGTTCACATCCTCACGTATATGACTATAGAAATCGTGTCGCGAGGAAGTGAGCGAACGACTCGACTAAAAATAGTTCTAGTTCGAGATTATGTATAATTTAGCAAATATTTAAGTGGTGGGGTCAGTGGAATATAAAACAATCAAATCACATATTTTTGTGTAATGCACACTTTTCTTATCTCGCGATTTTGCGTTCACAGGGTGCAACAAGTGATCGCCAATTTTATTTGTATTCACTAATGGGGAATATCGCCAACAACCACAGACATCTAATAAATATAAGGACTGTGTTACCAACATGTCCTGCTTTCAATTTATCTCTTTTGCAAGGAGGCAACTCACCTTATAAGGTGAACACGTCTTAGAGCGATTCCTTAACTCAATTGAGGGTACCTCATGAGTACTAGGTAAAATGGGATACTCTCACATCCTCAAATAAAATAGATGGGTTGCCTATGATTACAGAATTAGTACTACGTCTGTTTTTACTTTGCACTTCCTCTTCCGTGTTCAAAACCAAAATAACTTGTTGAAGTTACGACTTGTAATTAGGGCAGTCAAAGGATTTCGATCATCCAATCCAGACTGTTGTGTATTTTATTCATAAAATTCTTATGCTGATTTGTCACAAAGCAAAGTTTTCGGGAGATTTTGCGACATCTTTACTCATCGGATAAATGACGACAGTCTCGCCGCCCAAGCGGATAAATAAACTTGAGATGTCATTTGTAACTTTGTTTCCGCTAATAGCGCACTTGTGTAGACATTTTATACACAATGTCGCAGGACGCGTAACAAAATTCACTTCAAACCATTATGTATACGATAAAACATAACACAATAAGGTTTTTAAACACTATATATTGGGCTCATATCATTCAGCCTCCTTTGTGACGTCATTTAGAGGTAAAATAAAGTTCAATTCATTTCATGTATGCTTGATAAAATAATTACATCTTTATTATTAAAAAATTAATAGTAAAGTAAGGTTTATAAACCACCTCGAAATTATTTTAAAATCAGCATGGCTTTTGTTTATTTTTTACACACCGAAATGTTAATGGTTATTTAATTAAGCTAGTTGTTTTAAATAATTTAGTTTCAATCACAATTTACGGAATTTTATGTAGTTTGTAAAATCATGTAGCAAAAAGTAGTAGACATATTACCGCTTATTGTTTCTTTATCAGTTTTTTATAATATTGAAGTGACAAACGAACTGAATTCCATCTGAAGGTAAGTGGCTGCTACAGTCCATGGACACCTGATACAAACTTCAACGAAGAAAGCTAAATAGATTCGTTATCACAGGTGGAATGGAATACCTTATAACCTTTAATTATACGGGCTCTATACCCTTCAGACCGAAACACAGCAGTGCGTGCACTTGTGCTTGGCGGCAGGTAAGCATATGTAAGATATTGAAGTATTACATAGGTAATTGGGTGGTATCTACCCAGAAGGACTTAGGTAATTAATCGTAATAAATTTCGTGGACCATTTTGTAATAACTACTATTATGATACGGATTTCTAACCTGGCCAGAAAAAAAAATCACAAAGCTGTCTAACCATATTTGTCAAAATCGGCCTTCCACATTTTTTTAAAATTTAACATTTGTGGTCGAAGATATTGCCCTTATTAAATACACGCTATTTAATTGATAAATCATCTACTAGACAATACGATTCCCTGTTGTCACTAGAATTAAACACTAAGTAATATTTGCTTATATTGAATAATAAAGCGCTTCAATTATCACCAGTTTGGTTAAATTTATGTAAAATCAACAAGAAAAAAAGAAACAAAATTATTTGCTAATGAATACACTCGTGTTTCCATACTGTACATCGAAGTTGCCCATAGTCCACACCTTTTCAATCTAAACATTCTACTTCTCTTCTTTTTTGTTCTCAATAGTATTAATATTATTATTTATAGGTTTTCATTTGAATTTCTTGTATTAATATTATGTTTATTTATACATATTTAAAAAAGAATATTTAAGTGCAAATTTTAAACAAAATCTTATATTGCAATATGTTACTCATTATTTTAACTTATGTTTACTTATAAAACAGGTAATAACAACAGCATCGTATGTACGCACAAATTGTTAACAAGTAGCTTGCAATTTGAATATGTAGCAGAAGTTCTAAAGTAATTTATTTGTAAAAAGTATTAACTTGTTGATATTAGACTTTAATTACAATACTAGTCTTTCGGGAAAATTATTTCAATTTACAAAACTATATTAAATTGCATGTTTTACAGAATTACTTATATTTAAATCAATATTTAAATGTTTAATGTTTATTTATAAGCCAAAGCTAATATTATTGCTATGTGAAAACTGGCACCACATAATGTATTGTTACCGAAAACCATGTTACTGTGTAAGGATTAATGTCAAAAATTGGATTTATCGTGTTATTATATACTTGGCGATAATTGAACTTGATTGTCATAACGAGATTTTACATTATATTGTAATACTATTTGTTAAATACGTTTTAATATTTCTCAAGATACATCATAAAAATAACTGCACATCGAAGCAAATTCCATGTTGGCCCATGAATTATCCGTCGTTATTTGCAAAATATCCTGAAAATAAGCATCTTTAAGCACTCTTTTATGTATCAGTATTTTAAAGTAAAGATATAATAATGGGAAATGTGAGTAAAAGCTCGAGAAGATGGTGCTTAGGTTCACCTTTTCTTAAACGCATTAATGATCTTTTTTAATTAAGTGGTTTATATTTTGTGCTCAAAATAATTACGCGTGTATTTTGGTTCGCAAGTATTTTAGCTAAAAGTAAACTTGCAAAATCTATTTGGTAATTCTCTATTACAGATGCCCGCCTATCGGTAATCAATATTTTTAAATATTTTCCATTCATTTCCCATTAACAGAACCGTCAGACGCCTTAGCTTTAATTTTTCTTTGATATATTGAAAGTTATAAACAGCTTATACAGTGTGCCATTTTTATTTGCTGGATCGGTTTACTACCGGACTCAGTGGCATTTGTATATTTCGGTGTTGTTTTATATGTAAAAAGCCCTTACTTTTAATGTATATTTAAAGGAAAACTGTAAAAAGTATAGATAAATCAAATTAAAGCGATCCACATGAAATGTCTGCTATAAGTTATACTTATGCGTCACTAATTTAGAATTTTGTGCCAATAAGGCGCTGGTGCCTTGAAAAAACAATAATATTTTACTACTACAGTAAACATTGCGGTTTATTCTTCGAAAAGATACATAAAAAGTTTTTCTAATAAATACAATATGTTGTTTAGATATAAGATGAAATACATAATGTTATATTTAATATTATATTCTTTGTTGTACTTAAATATTTGGTAATCATTTATTGTGATTATATTAACATTCCGTCCTACGTATATAATCAAAGTACTTAATTTTTTAGTCATTATTTGTAATCCTCTACACATTTATGTACCAAGTGTTAATATAAGAATATAGTTATTAGAAATATAGATATTTATTTTATTTCTTCGAATATTTTTATCAATAACATGACCACCATTACAGCCCTTCACAAGCGCGCTGCTGAACACAGATCATAGAGCTCTCCAATGAATGCCACATACCACGATTCTGAGCCTGAACATTTACATGTTGTTTATGATTCCCACTTAAACTGCACATTTGTTTCAAAAAGGTTAAAATACTCAAATAATGATTCTTAAGAGTACATATATGTTACCTTAATTTCTTGACGTACATGAATCCTTTAGGCACAGACATGTCACACACAATATATAATTATAAAGATCTAATATTTAATATATCCAAACATAAATAAAAAACTTTGGTTATGACAATTTATATTTATTGCACAGGTTATCTGAATAAAATCACAAAGATAATGCCTAATAATATATTTAAAAATATATATCACAGACTAAAATGTTTTTCTTCAATTAGTTAAATCTTTAATGAAAATTGTAAGAACATGAGAGCGCACATAAAAAAAAACTGCAATAAATTTAATGGAGGCAAAAAGCAATTTGCACCTTAGAAAGTGCAAATTGCTTTTTGCCTTTTTGACTTAGAAGTCAATTAAAGCAAGTATGTTTTTTTTTATAGAATAAGGGTGACAAACGAGCACACAGTCCACCTGATGATAAGTGGATGCTGTGGCCCATAGACATCTACATTTAACCTCGATTAAGAATCAAAATAGTATTCTGTGAGAGCGTGGTCCTACCCCGGTCGAGCCGACCCATTCGTGCTACAACCATAATATAGATGCAGCATGGCTCTACCACGTATAAGTACGCATATGGTAGGATTAATGATAAGTGACCCGCTTTTCTTGGGAATTTCGCTATTGTAGATGAATGTTTAAGTTGACGTTATGATAGACAATCGATAAGATAGTTTCCTGACAAATATGAGAGATTCGATCTCTTGATAGCGACTCGGTGAACGCTATCTAAGTAAAACATCGAAGCATTTTTTGCCCCATAAAGACCTTCTAATGCAAATTGAACTGCGGTGGGCGTGGCTTACCAATTACGCTGCGTACAAGTTTATATTTAGTTCGCCTATAGCAGTTACGGTCGACGCACTATATCAACATTTCTATTTATAATAATTTCACGCTACTTCTCGTATTTCTATTAAAATGAATCATGGCATGCGGTTTATGAGGGTTGTGTTATGCCAAACAATTTATTCTTCTGCTTATCTAACAATAATGATACTTTATGTCACGACTAATTTTTATTCACCTATTTTGAAGTGAAAACTTCTTTAGAATCGTGATTTAAAACTAAATGAAACTAAAAAACGACACTAAAAAGACAAAACAAATAAATCTATAGGATTTAGCCTGCGAGAGAATGAGATAGAACATCGTTGTTGCTTGTTCTCTTCTTTGATGCTTTAAACGTGGTTAAAATAACTTTTAACTGTCAAAATAAACACTTTAAAAATAAAAATTACCATATTAAATAAAATTGTCATATCCAATCCATTCATAACAATCCACAATTTCATAACTTACCGATTTATATTAAATTAGTCGTGTTTAGACCATCTTGCGTCTGTTTTACGTAGGTACAACCTTAAGAGTCAATCTATTTTTTGTTTGATAAAATTACTTTACATATTTAATGAAGTACATGGCGTTATTAAAAAGCAATCTTCTTTGCAATTTTCTGATGGTTTCATTTTTACCGCGTGTGAACTAATATCACTTATTCTATACGTTTTATTATAAATTAAAAACGAAACATTGAAATTATTAGTCGTAGGTGATTAAAAAAGTAAGTAAGCCAATTGTTGACTAATAAAATAGGAATTGGAAGGAATTCAAATAATATAGAGCTCTCTGCGTATCTGAATAAAATATCTTTTTAACCTAATAATTTCAATGTGTCATTTGACAACTATTGCTTGCTATTGCTATACGTAATTATACAACATAAAAAAAATATCATACGAATTATAATTAATACCGTCACTATGCTAATACTGATAACGTAAGAATAAAAAACTCAATTGTCAACTTTTAATTATGCTTCCCGATGAGACAAAATAATATGATAAACTGCTCAGCGTCGAATTTTCAAAGTGCAAAATTGTTTGATATTTAGTTCCATGTTTTATTGGCGATCACTGGGGCGAAACTTAATAATTATCCTAATTATGAAATATTTTGATTATAAATATAAGAAATGCCCACATTAAAAATGTCTAAACACCCCGAAAAATTTATTTTATACTCTTTATTAGTCTTGCTTGGTAGAATATAGATAGAAAATGCTTTAAGTTTCGCAATCGTTTACGTGGTCGAGCCATGCCGCTGCTTCATTATGGTTGTATCATGAATGGGTCGGCTCGACCGGGGTAAGGACCTCGCTCCCACAGAATACAAGTGTGAAATAGCAGCTCAACGCTGCTGTGTTTCTTATGGTGAGCCTAAGGAATCGAAGACCCTTTTCACTGGAAACGAGGCATTACATCTTAGTCCTCAGGGGTCAATAACGGATCTACTTTTTGATTCTTAATCGAGGCTACAGCATCCACTTACCATCATGTGGACTGTGTGCTCGTTTGTCACCATTATAACAGTGAAACTTGGTTAATTGGGATCTCAAGGGACCAAGGATTTTGTACCATTTAAAGAGGGTTTCATTTATCCAGTTTTCCCAATGATAGTGTATATTTTAAAGGATAATTAATATACACTATATATCACCAAGTTTTCCAATTAGACAGGTTTAAAATTTAGTTGTCTCATTTATAGAGGCCCCGTGTCGAAAATCTATATACTAACTTAAATAATCGTCTCGAAACCTGTCCCAACCCGATAAATTGTCTCACTTATAAAGTAATTGAGCTCCAGAGTCCCAATTATACCGAGGTACACATCGAAAATAATCCTAGAAATCAAATCTCATTTAACCAGGTTCGAAAAGTCCCATTAATAGAGTTAATTCGATGAAAACGTGCCGGGACCTCATTGTAGTTCTCAATAATAGAGGTTTCTCACTTATCTAGGTCCCACTTAACCAGGTTGCACTGTGTATAAAAAAATGTACTTCCATCACAGATAATAATACAAATACTTAGGTTTGTTTGTTTTCAAGCCACATCACAATTGTGATCGCATAAATAACATAGTGTTTTTTAAATATTACCCTGACATTTTGTTAATATCAAGTTTTTCTGGAAAATATTTTCACAAGAAAAGTAATATTAATTATTTTTGTTAATATAAGTTTGTAAATATTATACAGAATAATAACTTAGTGAACATAGTTTTCATTTTATTATTTATTTTTCTGTTTTATCTTGTTTGTAGTTTATTTAGCAATTCTTTACAATATCAACATTAACCACATCAAATCGAATAAAATATTTAAATAATAACGCCGGTTACCAGTTAATTATACAATATTTACCTTCTGAAGGTAACCGTAATAAAATAAGAACGCTCTCTATTTGGCATCGAACTAACACATGTAAATTGTCTACGAAGACTTTAGTAATAGAAAAAATTTTGGTTCTATAAATGAATTATATTCTTTATATATACTAATTATGCAGTATTTGGAAAGGAAGACTATCTCGCTCAAGGACAGGAAGCAGAACTGTGGGGCAGTTTGTTTGGATTCGTTAGACCAGATGAACAGGCAGACAAGTCATTGATCTTCCGGCTGGAGCAGATTTTTATTATTTCTTTGGTAAGTATCTCAGCCGGAAGAGAGCAAACAACCCAGTGCCACCGTTGTGGTAGTGACGAGGACACGGCGCAATATTTCCTAGAGAATTGCTCGGCTTTGGCTAAGTTGCGTCGTGACCTCATAGATGTAGTGGGTACGACCTCTTGTTTTTAGCCTTGAATAAGGATATGGTTGGATGTAAGAGGTCGTAAATCGCCGATGTCATCTCCTGCAACAGGTAGTGTCACGGAAGGAGGCTGGGAGGAAAAAAAACGGCAGATAACTAAATCAGCAGGAGAATAAGACATCGGAGAAGAAAATATCAAGCCCTCCTATATTATACTCCATAATACAATACCTAGGCGCCGGGCATACAGCTTGTCCGTCACCCTGTACGTAATGTTCGAGGTAGCGCGTATGTTCCCGCTTAAATAAAAAAGGGATGGAAAACTGGCGCTCCACTTCCTCAAGAAGACAAAAAACCCTGAGAAATAACCCCGTATATTCAATTTTGCATAAACGGCATATTTACGTATATATCTATTAATTAGCGACACGTCAGTTCGTGAAGTTTTAAACCTGTAATTGTCAGTAATTAGGCATATATTAGTGACAATGACATGCGTGCCCCGCCCAACTTAGCGCTTCCTCTTGTTTTCAATATTCCGTGCATATGCTAATATAGTGCAGATTTTTGAAATAATTGACTTCCCTAACTTGTTCATTATTAAATGTAATGCTTGTTATTTTAGCACTTTGTTCTCTTTTACATTATTATATACATTTTCACTGTCAACAATGAGATCATACTCTGATTTCTGACTTAAATTTCTAAAAAAGTAGAGAATGCATGTGTGTTGCGTAATGAGACGTGTAGTTACTTTTCATAAGATCATATATTTATACACGTAGGTATGCAATAATATTTTAACATGTAAGAAGAGTATTAATCAGAAACAGTGGTAATCTCGTTTTTTACAGAACACATATTACACATCAATTATAACAGATTTGAATAAGCACAAGAGTACTATTCGGTAGCTGGTGGTGGCAGCATAGAGACACGCACCACTCCATCTTATCCAGTGGGTGTGGTACGAAGCTATTTCCGTGTAAATAAAAATAAGGTCTAAAAGTTTGCCTCTGATATCTCGCTAACTTTTATATATCGCCAGCTAGACCAGAGACGGTTAGCAGCGTGTAGTCTGCTTGATGATAATTAAGACTACGACACTAGAAATGTACGATAGTTTTTCCTTTTTATTTGAAATATCTATTAATAAGATAATTTGAATTTTGTATAGGTAGGTCCTAAAAAGAATTTGAATATCAATTTTAGCCTATCGCCCACTATCATGAATTAATAGTAATAAGTAATTTTAAATAAGTACCATATCAGCAACAATATATAAGATATAATTGTATTATCAGCTTAATTAGAAACACAAAAACGATAAGAAATAATAATTACAAATTATGACGAAATAAAAATTGTAGCAAATAAGATTACTAAAATTTGAGCAAATGTATTGTTTAGAAATATTAGGTCACATTTTATGATTGATAAAAATAAGATTATTAGATATTTTGCTAATCAATATCTCTACGCAATTTTTTTGGAGATCCCTTTATGGTGTCTCCAGCCGGAAAAATACCTTTAAAAGAATGTCTCTGTTCTTTTACTTGGGATTCCTTATCTATGCTCATAATTATATCCCTGTTGCGTTTCAAACTTCTTTCACTTAAATCGTCCTTAAGATCAATGGAAGATGCAAGAGATTCTAATGACGTAACGGTGGAATGTTCTTTTAAATTGTTGCGCATGGAAAGATCTAAGAATGCTCGAGGTCCAGGATCATGAATATTTTGTGATGAAGATGAAGTTCCAGAAGTCGGCATATCTTCAATTGCAGCCATTTTTATAAGCTCTCGCTGCGATTCCCGAGCCTCCATCAAGAATATGCTTTCCTGTTAGCAATAACTTAACTCAAACAAAGCATAGTATATGTGCTTATTGTAAAACAAAAACTAGCTTTAAAAACAGTGAATGTAAATATAACTAAAAATATCTAATTGCAATCAAGGAATATTTAAAAAGTGTGTATGTACCTTAACTTCTTTGGTTGTGTACTGATCTAGTTTGTCATAAATCACAGCGTGTAAGCCCATCTCCTTGAGTTTTTTGATGGTATTTTTATCATTATTATCATCACCCCAACAAAAAATTACTAGTCCGGCGTCAGTTGCTAATTTCACCTGAAAGGCAACAATTATACATTTCAAATGAGATGAATTGTTTGCTGTAGATTGTTCACGATGCATGTTGCGCACATTCTAACGATAAGATACCACGTTAAAGACAGTGTAATGCATATTATTAAGTAGGTACATTTTTAACAGACCAAAGATGCGAGACGTCTGGCATTGTGATTGCCAATCCGCTACTTAAGCATTAGGTTTAAGGCAAATGCTTCCCTACAACAGTAAAGCTCAGTGGAATTTTAAGTTTTATTTTATTTTTTTATTATTCACAAAATCCACAGCTTGTAACAAACTATTTACACACAAATCTTATAAAATAGGTCTTGAAGCCAATTACGCATTTACAATGTACTTATTAAGCTAAAAAGAACGTTACAGAGTATTCACCACCTTACTTAAAAATAGATGTATGAAATATAAACATTTTTAAAGGTAAACAAAGCGCACGAAATTTGTTTAAGTGCGGAAGATTGTGTATGTTTGCACACGTATGTGAAAGTGTGTGTGTGTGTATGTGTTTTATTAAAGACTAGCGTTCTCCCCGGCTTTCCATGGTTCATGAATGGATCTCGGCACAGCGTTACCTCTTGGTCCAATTATTGTAAATGCAAACCACCTAGGGACCCACCCAAGCATATAAAAAAATTCATCAAAATCAGTCCAGCCGTGTTCAAGTGACGATCTTTCGTACATGCAGCAATTAATTTTTATTTATATAATTCTCTACTTATAATATACATGTTTTATAACATATAAACCTTCCTCTTAAATCATTCTTCCTATTGGTGAAAACTGCATCATAATCTGTTGGATAGTTTAAAAGATCTAAACGTACAGACGGCGGGAATAGGCTTTGTTTTATACTATGTAAAGAAGCACATTTTATTCGAGCGTTTATTACATACATCAATACATAGGTGAGTTTTAAAAAAATGAAAACTAACCAGAGATTTTTTTATAGAATAATGGTGATAAACTAGTACACAGTCCACCTACATCTACATTTATCCTTGATTAAGAATCAAAACGCAGATGCGTTGTCTCCCTGAGGACTAATATGAAATGCCTCGTTCCCAATAAAAATGGGGCTCCGGATCTCTACACTCACCATACGAAGCACAGCAGCATTAAGCAGCTATTTTACGCTGGAATTCAATGAGAGCGTAGTCCTTCCCCAGTCGAGGCGACCCATTCGTGCTACAACCATAATATAGCTGCAGCGTGTCTCAAATCAAAACAGTTACAGTGTGATCAACCACGTATAGTTGCTCATACTGTAACTGTTTTGATCTCAATTTTAAGATAAAAATAAATTACAAATTCATTTTATGGACTTGGCCCGTATAGACATGATACAATTATATCGACTACATGTCATTAGAAACATATTAAGAGGTAACATAAACCAATTTTAGTAATTAAACTGTTTTAACAATATCAAGCATCAAAGTAGCCTAAAATGTATAGCCACTAGTGACATGCACAATCTTGATTCTTCTTTAGCCCACAAATCATCCATTGCTGGGCGTGAACCTCTCCCAAGCTCTTAGATATAAACGTTAGATGATAATATTAATTGGATTATAGGGGGTAGAATTCTAGGTGTTAAGAATGATAGCCCAATTTTAAGCAATTGTAAGTTTTTACTTACCTATTATTTACTAGTGTTTTAAGGGCTTGAGAACTTTAAATAATAATACAAGACAGAAATATTGCTGGAATGATTTTTTATTATTATTATTATCTGGTAGATAATTTCATGGCATTTATTTTTTAAATACGATTTCCGGATTATTTCGGCCGCGCCTACGAATTACATAGTCCATTCGATCAGTCCAATTTTTCACTACTTTATCTAATAAATCTGGCCGTATGGCATCAATGGTGGCATGAATATTGGCTTCCAATGCTTCAAGAGTTGCTGGTTTTTCGGCATAAACCGACCACTTAACATAGTCCTATAAAAAGTATTCGAGAGGCGTGAAGTCGCACAAACGAGGGGCCAGTTAACAGGACTACTTCTGGAAATAAAGTTGTCACCAAATTTATTTTGCAATAAATTGACAGTTAAGCGCGCTGTATGGCAAGTTGCGCCGTCTTGTTGGAACTAAATCTCGTCGATGTTTAACTAATTAATTTTTAGAAACAAATAATCAGTTAGCATGGCTCGATAGCGCTCGCTCTTATTGAAAGAAATAACGACCGATGATGCCGCCACCGCACGTAAACCGCACCAAATAGTCAATTTTAATGGATGTAGTGGTGATTCGTTAGTGGCATGAGGATTATCTTCGCTTCATAAACGGAATTTGATTATTCACGAAGCCATTTAACCAGAAATGAGCTTCGTCAATAAACAAAATTTTTCGATAAAAATGCTCATCTTCAGCCAGTTCCGAATTAGCCCAATCAGCAAAATAGCGACGTACACGATGGTCATTTATTTGGTTTTAATTCTTACACGAGTTGTATTTTATAGGCACTTAAGCCAAGATCCTTACGTAAAATTTTTACGAACTAAAAGAACACCCAATACGTTGCAACTTTAAACCCAATGGAAAAGCGTGCTAAGAGGCTTACTGGTGAACCGCATCTGGTTAAAACCAATCTCATCGGTCTCGAACATAGCCGCAAAGTAGCCAGGCTTATGGTTTTCTTCGGGATACTTTTTCAAAAGTTCGTAAGAATTACATTACTTAATTCCTCCTTTTCCCTTCCCCCATCGGACAACCAGACGGTTGCCCGGTCTCCATCCCTTCGCTATTCACTTACTACGCATTAGAACCAAATTTCGTCGTTTGTCATGCGTACTACAAAGGATTAGAATAATTTGCCAGGATTTGTCTTTATATCCGATTACATTGCAGCTAAAGCCTATTCACTCTTGCCTTGAAGGTCAAGGCAAGAGTGAATAGGCTTTTGTTAAGTCAGTGTGCTTTACTACCTTCGGCTACATTATCACTTACAATCAGGTAGGATGTTAGTCAAATACTGGTTTAAAACAATAAAAACAATACTTAAAAAAATCTAAAATTTTGATAATCGTTCCTGAATGAGACAGTAAGTATGTTTCGCTGATTTTATAAGAAAGCACTGAAAGTAAAGTTAAATTACCAAAACTGTACCTATCTCGTTATTATGTAACTATCCTCGATATTCTCATTTTATTCATTCATTGACCTTGGAGCAGACAAAAGTAAATTCACGTGACTGAACTAATAATAGTATAAGAGCGTGGAATTGCCAAGAACACAAAATAAGTCGCTGTAGAATAACTGCCAAAGTGCTAGCTTATCTTGATTTTAGCATTTGATTAATTTCATTATTCATTGAAACAATTTTAGTTGGTACGTTTATTTTTATATAAAATATATTTTAACTGTATTGCGTACGTTACGTGCCTACCTACCTACATATGATTGTAGCACTATAACATCCATTGTCTGCACGTGTAAGACAATGAAACGTCACTGAATGAACATGAAAGTAATTTTAACATATATTGTAACGAAAACAGTCATTAACAATAAAACACTGTAATTATGTACAACTTATAACATAGTAAATGGGTTTCTTAGTATTTATTTTTAAAAAACACTGAGTTATTTGGACTTTTGAAAAAAGTCTTAATAAGTACCTACAGACCCACAAGTGGATAACGCACTGTCGCGAAATCGTAGTTCCATGGTTCGTGTCTTGTCTTAGGATTGACTTTTTTCCTTGTTTTTTTCAAGTTCCCTTCTTTTGTGAGAAAATCTATTATTTCGAGCCCTTTTTGTAGTATTTTTTTAAAAATACGAAAATTTTATTGCACTCATGATTTTTCATTTTAATAACCAGTTCAGTTTTTTCTATTATGTCGGTAAGATCAAAAAATATTCTTCATATTTTATCAGTATGTATTTTTATCTAAATGTAACTTCCAAAACACACGATTTGCAAAAAAAAAATACCGAGAAATGCTCGATCATCCAGGTACTATACAATATAATATATACAAATCTTCCTTCAATTCTATATGAATAGGATTGCGTTCGGAACACAAGATCTAGAACACTAAAATGTACAAAAAATTACTTATCTCTTTATTTCAATGTTATCTTTATATTCCTGGTAGAATTGGCCGACGAATAAGAAAAATATAACTCAGATTAGAATAACTATTTATTTATAAACAATAAAGCACGGAACAAAAAAAAGGATTTTATGTAATTGAATTATATTTGTTTCTGAACGCACCGTAAGGTATGACGTAGTCACGAGTGAACTTGAGCTCTACAAAATATAACAAATTAATAATGTGTGTCTGTCTGAAATTGTTTGCAAAATGCGTAAAGGGTGTTTAATGTAACCCGGCACAACCATATTTAGCAAATGTTTGCAAGTTTAATTTTGTGACTGCTTTGGTAGTTTACCGATTTATAATAATTGTATTTATTGTTGACCAAAAACATATTCAAACACATTCATATATGAAACACTAACAAGTATGACGTATAATCAGTATTGTGACGATATTTCAGAAAAATCACGGGCCAGCCTGCTGTTAATAATACTATCGAAAACATAATTGCATTTTTAGAATAATTAATTACTATAACTACGATAAATTACAATATAGTCTCAAATATATACTAAAGAAATATTGCAATTCGAATCAACGAAAACATACATACAAAATATGTATAATACACAAGAAATTCCGCGCGCAAATCATAGCGCGTGACAACCGAAATCAGAATATATTTTATACAAGTCAAACAAGTGAACGTACGTAAGTTTGGCAACGCTTTTGTTTCAATTCAAGGTCAGGAATACGTTAGTACCGTAGACTTCTCTGTCTACGGCAGTTTGTTGTCAGGAAGGACGGCAACGTCGCTTTACCTACGACTTTTGGTTTGCCACACAACGATAATAAGTAATAAAATTATTTACAAAAAAAAACATAGGTGCCTAAGGTCATTAGTTTTATGTTATTTTATACTGTTTTTTTA